GAATACATTATTCTACTTGTTTTCTTCATTCTTCTGAGAATCTCGTTAATAAACAATATTTAAAGATCTTCCCCCTTAACAGTTCATGGGTATGGACCCACCAGAATTTGTTTAGATTCTCCTCCTAATCATTTAGGTTAGCTCTAATTTTTCGCTTTTACAAAAAATGAGATGCAGAAGAATCCTAAAGTTTCTTTGCTGTGTTTCCAAAGCACTTCAAAATCAACGGTGATATGAGTATGAAAGGATAGTGAATCTGGGTTGAAAAAAAATGTTGAAAGCCCAGTTAGAATGAATGATATTGTTAAGAAATTTTATAACTACCCAAATTTCATTTAAGAAGAGGAAATTCTGTAGTCAGTAACTTCCACAAAGCAGTCACAAGTAGCCAAGACAGCTCCTCAATCTAGTGTTGAACCCAAACTGGATGAAATGCTTGGAAACTTACATATTAAATCCACAGTTGTCACTACTGAGGGCGATGATGCCGCCAATGCACACTGTTTCAGCACGGACTCTGTCCCGGGTGCTATTCGCAGCGCTGCACAGATTTAAAATCACGGGCTCCTCACAAGCAAATGGGATGACCATCCTGTAAAGAGGCTAGAACTCGGGGTAGGGAGTTTGCATCTCTCAGCCAGTTAAGAGATGAGCCAGTCTGGTCCAGAGTCTGTCTCTTGACCACCACAGCGTCTGAGCTGAAACAAAATCTTTCCCTAAAGGGTGTTCACCTGGTAAGTAACATTATTGATGGTAAAAATAAAACGACGAGGAACGCTGCCACGCGTCTGTCCTCTGTGGGAGATTGTTTCCTTTTGGTAACAGGGGGCGGGTAGGGGGCAGCAAAGTTCATAGAATAACTGCCCCGGGCTGCTTCTTAGCCACACCCAACCCATCAGAGTGCCAGGAAGAAGAATGTGTGGAACATTCTCAAGGGCATGCAGCTTGATGGAATAGGAAGCCGTGCTGATCTCAGGTTCAAAATGGGCAGTGGAGAGTTATTTTCTGCAAGGGGAGAATCAGGAACACTGGTGCTACTGAGTGGTTACATCTGATGTCATCTCAATGGCACCTGTGTGGAGGTAGGGGCAGAGGCCAACCTATTGATCGGGTAGGTCTTAGCCTGGTGATGCCTCCTGGGAGTGTGGCTTTCTTCTAAGACAGGCAGTGAGGACTTGGCTCACACACTTCTTTGCTTCCTGCTTGCCTGGGTCACACACAGCTGGCTCTGGGGTTGACAACCATGTGACCTGCTGACCCTGGGCGTGCTGGGGCCCTGCCATGTCCCTGTGGACCTTGAATCCACTTGACCTTGCATCCACGGGCCCGTGATCAACTAGCTTCCCACTGCTCCTTTCTGTTTCACCCAAAAGCTGCATGAGTCTACAGAGGGCTCAGGATAGCATCAGACCCATGGACTGAAGTTTGACTGGGTGGGCACACTTTTTGATATAAGATTTTTTTCGTCGTACTATAAAAGTCCATTCATGTGTGTGTGTGTGTGTGTGTGTGTGTTTCTCACTGATTTTTTTTCTCCCTAGAAAAGAGCCTAACACAGCGACTGAGCCAGTCATTAAATGTGAAAAACAGGTTCCACCCAAACATCCTAGCCCTATTTTAAATAATACAGAACGCTATACCAAAACCAAACTCACGGTCATCAAGTCAGTGCTGACTCGGAATGCCCCTGTGGGCTTCGGCAACTGAAACTGATAACGGGGTAGAAAGTCAGCCTTACTCCCAG